CCATGAACCACGGTGTCCATGCTTTATGTTTGACCATAAACTTTTGTTTCATCTCTCCCCTTCATTTCTTGTAATTTCTCTTCAGATTTCTAATAAATCCGTAAGATGCCCCAAATATTTTTTCAAAACATTGTCATTGTTTACCGAGTGCACGTCATCATACAGTACATGTAATAAAACAGCATTAGGTTCTCAATATAACTTTGCATTTCTCCCTCAAAACTGCAACACGGACCCATCCTGGTGACGTATAGGATGCAAACCAGATAACTGCAGCATCCCTGGTGCAATTCCAAACGAGGACCTTTGTCTCTCCCTACATTTGGGGTGGCTGTGGCTCACGAGGTAGGGCAAGTCGTCTTCTGACCACCAAGTTGGTGGTTCGACTCCCGGTCTCCCCACATGCCTAAGTGTCCCTGAGCAAGACACTGAACCCCGAATTGCTCCCGGTGGCTTGACTAGCACCGTTGTGTGGCAGCCTTATCGTCATCGGTGTGTGAATGTGTGTGTGTGAATGGGTGAATGGTGTATAATCTCCCTGTAAAGCGCTTTGGCCAGTGCATAAAAGCGCTATATAAATACAGTCCATTTACCATTTTGCTGTCTGTATCCATAATGTCAGCTATGCATTAATGGGAAGATTGCTAAAATATTATCTTGGAATTTATTTTTAAAAAGAAACGTGGTTTTAAATAAAGTGTCCCAAGTTTCACCCAGCTAACAAACTATAGTTATCCTGCCTCTGTGGGGCAGGGTCTGCCTGTTTTCAGTCAGCAACTTCCAGGTGGATGCACCGTTGTGTGTGCTGCAAAACCCAACCCACACAATGCCAGTTTGTGCCCGACGGGTGTGGTTTCCATTCCATTTAAGTTCAGTGCATGAAACAACACATGCGTTTGTGCCAACCTGATGCCACGGCAAGTTGCAGCAAATCAACAAAAGAGCACATGGAGTTCAATCGAACAGTGAACAGCAGCCTGTTTGTGGCCAGAAAATGTGGGCACCCTATCCTCCCAGTAGCTCACAGCTTTTGATTATGAGTCAGAAACATTTGAATATTTAGAAATATCATGCTGACATTGACAATTCATTCCTTAGCCTAGATTGTGTAATATCATGATTGAATGAATTAAAATCCATAAAATCACACGTAATATTTTGATGGTGTCATGGTATCTGTGCTCTACGGGGCAGTATTCAGCCTGTGATATAAGCTGTTCACATTGTGTTCAAAAGCAGAGACATCACGTTGCTTAATAGGAAAGGATAACCAATTTTCATATCACCGCCTCATGTGCTGCCTGCACTCTGTTTAAAAGAGTTTCTCCACCCTTGCCGCTACATAACAAGCGGCATATCGGCACTGCCAAATGGAACACACCCACTGTCTCAGGATAGTTGCTGAAACATGGCTAGTTTATATACGCCTCCACCCTCACCAGATCTCAGTGCAGTAAAGGCTGAAAACCATTATAAAGCCTCGTCCGGTTCTTTCAAACCAGGAACTCAGAGGGACGACTCAGACCACTTGAGTATATAAAAATATAACCGTGCTGGTTTATTCAAAGAGGCACAGGCAAGAATTCACACTTCCAGTCCAGAGATCTTCCAACCCCCAGCCTGCCAAAGCAGCCCGGAAGCAGAAAAGACCCCGAACCAAGCATTGCTATACAATATTAATCATTTCTGGGCTGTCGAACCGTGACGTCACCCGATAAGCAAGCCTTGCAGCTGCTATAACGTTTAGCCAAAACATGAGGAAAAGTCAAGGTGCGTGGCTGTTGTTTTCGTGGTGTGTATCTAAAACAATTGGACATAACCTTACACATTAAGACAAATATTAAGACTAGCATTACAGTTGACACTAACAGCTCTTTTCCTGTAACCTTGGCGTGCCTGCAGTCTGCACTGCAGGCTGAATAGTTAACAGCCTAAGCTAGTCACCCTGTCTGCACTAACATTACTAGACAACAAATCTCTGAATATCTATCTAACTAAAAAACAACCTAACAGCAGTAAAGCACATGAAGTGGAACTAGTACCTTAGAACTTTAATGTGCCACTGAAAGTGTGTGACCCAGTCACACTGTTGTGCTAGCTATTGGGAGAGTTTCCCTAAATTTGTCATGTATGTTCCTTGGAGTAACTACTGTAGAAGTCTTGTTGTTTTTGTATGTGAAATGACAATTATTGTGTTCCTGTTTTGAAAGGAACCTTGGTCCCCGGCACGATCACCATGCAGTTCACCGCCTTGCTCTCCACTGACCTACCGCAGCTACTCGTACACCAAACAGAGAAATGGAGCAGGCTCACAGATGAGTAAGACCAGTTTCAGTCTTACAGTGCTGCTAAACTCTACAAATATAATTAAACACACTGCTCTAATTTGACATTTTGTAGGAACTCTAGGGATAGAATAGCTGCTTTCATGTAAGCTTCAAGGGCTTTGTTTTTTTTTTTTATGCTAATGTCTTAGGTGTAGGCCTAATTGGTAGGAAATAACTGCATGCTGGCTTCAGGTTTCTCCTCCACCAACGCTGTGTTTTTCTTTTCTATCCTGCAGCTTATGAAAGCAAACATTCTTCACGGCCAGGCGTTCAGCTGGAGCAGCACTCCTCTCCCAGTAACTACGGGACCAAGCCCACTGTGGAGCACCCTGCTGTGGTTCGGGTGGAGCCAGATTTTGTATAATTAATTATCTTATAAATTTCTTTAGCTCATTAATTAAATGTTTATTATAATACTTAATACTTTTGTATTTCTGTGCAACTCCCCAGGTTTCATCAGCAGAGAGGCTGGACCAGCAGGGTGTAGTGGCCTATTCTGAGGATGACCCCTGGAGGATGACGGAGGAACAGCTGGAGTATTACACTAATCAGTTCAAAAGTCTGCAGCCTGACCTGGGGGCTCTGATCCTGGGTATGGATGGATCCCCCACTCACCACCCCCACCCTTCCTGCTTAAATTGGGGGGAATCACCTTGAAACTATTCTCTCTTTGCTTTTTCTAGGAACTGTTGCAAAGAACTTTTTCACAAAATCCAAGCTCCCAATACCAGAGCTTTCCCACATATGGTAAGTGCTGCCTCATGGTGCTGTCTGTCCTTGTTCTCCTCTGTGGTCAGCTGAGTGTTTATCGGCCAAGCACCACAGCTTGCCTGCCAAAGCAGGCAGAGGCCTCATTTTATTTGAAAAATGCACACCAGTATTGTACTTTCATCCTCAAACAAATAATACATTTAATTTATTGTGTAGAAAAAGACTTTTTAATTGGAAAATATATCATTTTGCAATCATCTTGTATTCTAAAATATGAATTATTTAATAGGATGTCATAGAATGAAAAGTTTGAAACAACAGCCAGGAGATGGTTAGCTTAGCACAAAGACTGGAACCAGGAGTAAACAGCTAGCCTGACTCTGTCCAGAGCTAACACAACTACACCACAATGTGTCTTTTTAACATTCCAGCTTTTGTACGGATTAACAAAAGAGCTCTAGAGATGGTGCCAGGTGGATTTTGTGACTTTTGGACAGATCCTGCCTAGTGGTTTCCTCCCTGTTTCCCGACTTTGTATAAAGCTAAGCTAACTGGCAATTGGTAGGCTTATTTTATCATAAAGACTGATAGAGGAGAAAACCATTAGCCTGGCTGTGTCCCAAGATAACAAGCTAAACTAACCAGCTACAGTTAGTTTAGCTTAGCATATGTTTCAGATTTCTCTATTTATAATTAATTGTATGTCATAATTTAATTTTCATTATTAATAATTATTAGCAAATCTGTAACCTTGAAGCATTTCACACCAAGTTGTGCCTGTACATGTTAAATGTTGTCGGGACAGTAAATGCTATACCGCAATACAGTAACATGTTTAAGAGGCAAAGTAAAAATTGTCTTATCCAGACATTTTGTTTTAAAAGTTTGTAGTTTCTAAATAATTTCCTGTCATGTTGTCCTATATTTTGGCCCAAATCCTTGGTGAAATAGAGAGCATTTTCATTTCATAAACTGTGAATTAATTTACACTAATGAGTCTTCTGCTCAGTATGTGGCTGACTGTGGAAATAGTGGGGAAAATGGTACATTTGTCAGTGAATTATATGACTATATACTTGGGTTTAAAGTGAGTATCTCTTCTTCCTGGAAACTTTAAATAATTAGGAAATTGTCTGGAAATTATGGACCTGCAAAAATAAAACATTATCAAAATACTCGCATCTTCGTTAGTGATAACTTGCATGTAATAATTAGGATTACTGTTTAAGACATAAGTCTGCAGCTCTGCTCAGGTTGTGCAGATATTCATCATCTTTTAAACTAATTTTTTAAGGGAGCTGAGTGATGTGGATAGAGATGGAGCTCTCACTTTCTCTGAGTTCTGCACAGCCTTTCACTTGATTGTGGCACGTAAGAATGGTTACCCTCTGCCAGAGAGCCTTCCTCCAACCCTGAGGCCAGGGTTCACACAACAGGAAGAGGACATACCAAATACTCCTGAAGTAAGTGAAGCACAATCATGACTCTGACATCTAGAACATGCACAAATGCTAGTTTGTTTGTCTTGTTAGACTTATGCTCTTTAAACTGTGCCTTGATTTGCAGAGTGCAGAGCCTCTTATTGTCTTTAAGGATACTAAACCAAGGCCCAGTCAGATGGTAAACCAAGCTCTCAGCTTTCAAAATGTTAATGTGGAGTCTCTCTTTGGTGCCTTTAGGGGGCACTAACAAGCTGAACATTAGGCTGCAGCAACAGTGCAAGTGCATCCCAATCAGCTTGTTAAACACAGAGCATAAGCTTGTACTTCTTGGAGTGCACTATATTATATTATTGTTTTGTTCTCAATGATACAGTGGATGATTCTTTTTGCTATGTTTTTAGGATCAAAACATTATAAAGAGGCTTCATCCAAGTCTCGGCACGACAAAACAGGATATGAAAGAGGAATCCTATAAACAAGGTAAAAATAATAATTTTATTATTATTATTATTATCATTATAAAGAGGCTTCATCCAAGTCTCGGCACGACAAAACAGGATATGAAAGAGGAATCCTATAAACAAGGTAAAAATAATACTTTTATTATTATTATTATTATTAAGTTTTTGGAGCACTTAATCCAAACATGCTCACAACATTATGTTCTAAAATCAGATGCAACGCACATGTACTTCCTCTAAGTCAACCAAGTGCTCTGCTAAAGTGACATTATCTGGATATGTGGGATCATGGCACACAGAGAGCACAGCTAATCTTTCAATATCAGAAGACTTTCTTTTTGATTTTGGAAATAAAACATGTCAGCAAAACATCTTCCACATATAATAAATTTTAATGTACAACATAAATTCCTTGTACTGCTATCCCAACATGCACAGATATGCATAAAACAAATGGACAAAGGTCATGCATAACAGTCCTACTCAACATCACATAAAGAATGGAAGATAAAGATATATTCATATTTTGTAGGCCTAATAGTGCTGTTATCCCAGCCTGTACTCTTCCTGTCCTACTGCTGATTTCTTCATAACTGTCTACAGATACAAGTTTGAAGAGGCGGGCAACAAACCCAGAGAAACGGTCTCTACATTTCAGCTCTTTTCCTGAGAGGCCAGGTGACATTAAATCTCTTTTTCGCATGGGAAAGTTAAAGCTGATACTTTGTTCCTGTACATAAACTCATTCTGTAAGCACATGGAAATATTCAAGCATGTCAGAGTATTTTATATTTTGGTAATGAAAATAGCTGCAAAGACGCCGCATGACATAAATGGCTTAGGTAAAGTGTGCATGTGTAATGCTGATTGAGCTACTTGACACAAATTAAATTGGAGTTTATGGTTCTAAAGGGAAGTAGCTGCTTCTCATTTACAACAGCTCAATGAAAAGCAAAAACCTGACATGCTGATGTTGTTCATTCATTGCATTCTTCTTCACAGAACCACACCAGCGTTTGGACCCCAACACGAGGACAAAAACTAGACCGAGGTGACAATCAGTCTATTTCTGTTGCAAAACGGAAATGAAACACTATCTAAAACTCCTGAACTGCTCATTAACTGTGTTATATTCTTTGTTTTTCCATCAAAATGCTCTCACCTGCAGGTCCTACTCCAGCACTTCAATTGAAGATGCAATGAAGAAGGCAGAGGAGCCTCCCACCCCTCCTCCTCGTCCCCAGAAAACCCACTCCAGAGCCTCCTCACTGGACCTCAACAAGCTTGTCCAGCAGGGTGCTCCAGGTGCGATTCACATCTACAGTCTGTGGTCATGTCTTCATTTATCTTTTCTCACAATATTACATGCTGACAGCATGAACGTCCTGGAGCTATGGTGCATTTTGTAACCGAGTAATTGTGTTTTGTTTGTGATAGTTCTCCTTTCATGGGAGAGCAAAAAGGGAAGTGGAGATAGGTGTGTCTATATTGTTTAGTATGACAAGTCAAGCCAGATTCTCACTTGGAAATATGGGTGGTTTATTTGTGAAATATGACTTCTGACAGCAACATAGAAATAAAGCCACAGTACATTATAGCTTAGTAAAATGTGATCTAAATTTCAGGGATAAAAAGCGGATGGTTGCCACATCCTCCCGCCCTCCCTCCAAGACCATCAGCCTCACAGGTAAATGGCAGTAACCCGTACTAGTGTGCTCTTCTATCAAGTGAACAAAATCTTTGTTTGTTCCTCTAAACTCTAAATGTACAAATGTTTCATCAGTTAATCAGTACCTATCATCTTTCTCATCAGGTGCCTCATTTTATTAATGCTTCGGACGTAACTCCCCAGAATAAAGTGCAGCCGCCAAACTTTGCCAACTTCAGTCTCTTCAGAGAAGAAGTGAGCAGAAAATCTAAGTTCCTACTATGATTTGTTTTTATTCATTTAGTTGTTTATTTGCAAACATGCAAGCAGCAGGTTTGTCATTTCAAACTGAAGAAAAAAATCAGCAGTCAAACTCAAATTTCTGTTGCAGATGGTCAGCATTTTCTGCCCACCTATCTTCCACCTTTCATCTCAGACACTGCGCCATAAATGTGTCACCGAGGTCATGTTTATCAGATATACGAGCCTCTATTTCAAGACACAGATGAACTCAAAGGCTGTGACAGCAGTGAACAGTTTATCGTGGGCTGCAACCGAGCAAATACATAAAGGATTTATTTATGGCTAAAGTGACATGCCCTGCATTTAGTCAGGGCCCTTTAGAACCTCATCGTCTTTGTCCTTCATTTGTCTTTCCTGACACTTTATTATTTTATGTGGATGTATCTTTGTATCCTGTTACACCATGCAGCAATCCGGTGCATGTTTAATATTGTTGTTTCGTTGTTGTAGCAATTGATATTTAAAGCTTAAATGAAATTGTGTCTAAATTGTAAAAGCTTTGCCTCATATACAGTGTGATCCAGCATTTAGATGATGCTCCCTATCGATCCCAGAATGTCTTCTCTTGGTTAAATCTCACCATTCCGTGATGGTGTACTACCTGCCTTATGTTTGTACAGTCCTTTCCAAACCACCATGGGCCCACACATTTAACACTTCCTCTTCTGCCCATTGGAGCCTGGTCCAGGAGGTATAGGCTACCCCCATGCTGTGTTAGCTTGTAGCCACATTTAGTTCATGTTCTTCAGAATCTAGAACTTAGTGCTTCAACCTATATGAAACTGTTGTGATATACTGTGGTTGTGGAACGTATCTGTGTCCCAGTTAATCTAACTTCAGTATAGTTCCTCTCTTGCAATAATCCATATTTAATTAATCTAATATTATAAAATAAGATAAACTTCACCACTGTCAGACACCAAGATAAAAGAGTGAGATGCTAATTACCACAGCACATTTTGAGTCTGATTAATATAAAAAGTTATTTTTTAAAACCCAGTTTCTCAACCATTTTGTATTAATTTTATAATTACTCTTATCCTGCCTCTTACACTATCGTCCTTATCTCTTAATATGCCTTCTTACTACTCCCTCTCTCTTCCCCCTTCCTCCCCTCACTGTTGCTTGTGCAGTATCACCAGTTTACTCTTCATTATTAGTAGTGGGCCATTCTAAAGGTGGCTATACCCTATGTGTATGTTATGGATGAGTGAAATATACTATAGGTGTAGATACAATAGCTTCCTTAACATTTAGCATGTAGCATTTTGACAGTGAATGGTTAATTTGCACTTGAATAGAAAAACAACTTCACATCTGCAGGCATACACTGTTCATTATGGCCTAATGCTGAAAGTGAAGAGCAATGAAGTAAGTTGCATATGAGTTGTTAAGTTAAATTAGTATTACTTCTCATCATTTTGCTCCAGTTAGCTTTAAGTAATTCACTGTGTCCTCCAGAGAGTGGAGAGATTCTGCATTGAACCCCTGGACAAGTCAACACATTCAGACAGAGAGTTAGAACAGATCGAAGTCCTCTCTGCTCCCTTCCTCTGTGTTTGCTGACTTTAGTCATTGTGCCATTATAGTACAGTCCCACATGGAGATGTAGGGCTGTAATTTCACCTGGTTTGGATGCTGTTTTGCTCTTATAGCACTTAAATTAAACCTGTTGTAAAGTTCTTGTCCTCAAAAGGTCTAGTATGTGACAGTGACCCTACTTCACGAGGCCTCATATTGTTGGCATGAAACAGCTGGCCACTGTTGTATCTACTACAGTATCTTTATAAATGTTTCCACGCTGTGGTTGTATTTCACATCCAGTGATGCAGTATCAGTTGCTTAGCGCAGCAAATTTTTTTCACTTTTAGGTTTCTTGCTTACAGTTTACAGTAGGAGCATTGGCCTGTATAAACTATGAGGAAAGACCAGGCATTTTAACTGCCACCACAATGGAGATAGCAAATGATAGAAATTAGTGGATCAAATTCACTAAACATTAACTGATAGGAAATGATATGGAATAGAACACATGCTGAAGATGCTGCCTACTAAGAAATGCCTTTATCTCTTACTACAACAACAACTAATCTTGCAGTCTTGCTATGAGCTAAATTTCAAAAACTGACCTTCATGTGTGCAGGCCCTGTCTTCACATTCTTGCACTTTTAACCCCCTGCTGAGTGAAGGCAGGTGGCAATATGATACATTATGTCTAGAAGAGAATAATGGCTGAAATACAGCAAGGAGATGCAATAAAAGTGCATGAATCCATCATGGCTGCCAGCGAGCAGGCAGCAAGCTGCAGCTGGAGAGTACCACATCATGGCTCCTGCAGGGAAGCTGCTGTTCACAGTCAGGGCAGGCACACTTCACCCTGCCTTTTTAGTGCTTCTCTTTTATCATTCCACCTCATCAGGACATCAACAGTCTTATGTTGGGCATCATTTCTATTAAGAAGAGCTCTTTTAATTTTCTTGTGTAATTTAATTTTGCTCATGTATTTGCTTTTGTCTGTGTTACAGGAAGAAAGCAGTGTCAAGCCTGAAGAACAGGGTCCATGTTCTAGATTTGGCCCAAGTGATGAAGACTTAGCAAATGTTTCAAAACAGGTCAGAACTGCATATATAGAAGTGACATGTGAGAGCCATGCTGGTTTCATATTGGAAGTGCCTGGGCCTCTGTTGGGATCAGGAGTTAATTTTTATTTGTTGCATTTCCTTCAGGACATGATTGGTGTTTCTCACAGTCAGGCCCCACAGAAGCCAGTTCGCAGGAAATACCACCTAGAAAGCCAGAACCTGGAGACCATGCCATTTCCTCCCTCCACCAAACCTGCTCAAAAGTCAGTCACACATTTCACTCTTTAACCCTAAAATACAAACGAGTTTACTCTTTAGCTAAATCTCAATGTGCATTAATAGATACAACTAGTGGTCATAGCTGAAATGTTTTTGAGCCAAAAAAATACATTTATGAGGTGGCTTCTGCTAAAACCACACTGATCAATATTTTAATATTAACAATGAATCAAACGACTGTGTGTAATGTGAAAGGAGTCGTTTTCACTGACAACCCCACAGAGGGTTATCCCTCAGGAGCCGGTGGAGCAAAATGGAGCTAAAACGGTGAATGATTGTTGGATGTAAATTCATCACATGAATCCAAATACATGTTAATGAATCTATATGTCTTCACGGTGTGTTTGCTAACAGATTATTCATAAAAACTTCATCAGGCTTTTGTCAGTATATCACTGTAGTTTTTAATGTTCAGCCCACAAGTGGACAAACAAATCAAATCAGTTGACAACTTCTTAAAAGTACACAACTGTGTGGTGATTGTAAACCCCTGAAATCCACCCAGAAAGAGGAATTCAGCAGACATTAAGGCACACCCTAACCCACCATAACGACTCTAGCACATGCACTTCTGGCTCCTTATTGACTAGACAGCTATTTCAAACTGTCAGTCAGAAAATGGTGACCAAGTTTGATTTATGTAAATCCCCAGTGCTTTGGTCTGATCCCTCTGGTGTCCACAGTCTTTGAGTGCAGCAACCCTTTGTTTCAGAGTTTCATTCATCCCATCTTTACACAACATGATTCCACACTTTATTAGATAGATACATAATCTAGAAAATGCGTTAAAAGCCTGACAAAAGGTTGATTTAAAAAAATACTCTCCCAGGCTGCTGTCCAGACAGAAGAGGGACATCCAGATGGCGATCCGTAAAAACAAGGAAACCAACGCAGTGCTGACACGCCTCAACAGCGAGCTTCAACAGCAGCTCAAGGTCAGCCCCCTTCTCTTTCTTCTGTACAAAAACATTTTGTGAATGCAGCCATACCACAGTATTTTGCTAAAGGAATGTGTGTGTCCATCTACTGTATGTGGACTTTCTGACATTCCCCGACTCTGCTTCAGGGGATCTTGTGAAATGGCAAAAGCAGCCATGCAGCCCTTACAAAACACCCAGAATGTATCTTTAAATCTGACAGATTGATCTGCACGCTACATTTTAATCACAGCCACGGGAGCATACTGATGTTAATACCGTTTCAGAAGTTCTCAATTGTTGGTTAGAAGTTTGATTTTCAACAGACTGCAAAAGCTCCATCCGATCCAACGTGGGGAAAAGCCCCGAGCTCCGCTGTCTGCTCCCCTGACCATCACTCATAGCTGAACTAATGGTACAGATTTAGATGTTTGCCTTGGGGAGCCGCCTGTGGCACACACACACACATTTGGAACACATGCTGCATGCCTCTCATTCTCCTTGTAAATGATCTAGTAGTGAAACCTTCACGCTCACATGCAGCAGTTTTATGGCTTTAACACTACAGAGACTGAAGAATAAAAAAGACAAATCCAGCAACAATTTCTTAAATACCTAAAGAGTCCAAGAGGCAATAGGATGTCTAACTTTTACACTTTTATAATGTCAGTGTTTTCCCATTTAGTATTATGGTACTTTTTCATTCTGCTAGTTCTTTAAAGCATCTGTGGAATTCTGCAGAGAAAGGCATATGTCTCTTTATTTAGACTCAGGTCTTATTAAAATGCTAAACAGCGACCGGCATTCACAACTGTCTTCTTCAAAATAGAGCATGGGCTGGTCAGGCATGCATCTACAACAGGGTGTGTGTGGAACGAAAGAAAAGTGCACGGAGAGGAATAATTCATTCTTGACTTTTCAATGAATTCAAAGCAAAATCTGGAATAAAGACATGCATAGCAGTTTGAAGGACACCTTAATGAAAACATTATAGATTAACAGCGGACACTTTTTGTCACTATTCTAATGAACATAAAGGAGATGAAGAAAAGCAACATGCTGTGTGTTGTCCATAAAGTTTTTTTTTCTCCCCTTGTAAGGATGGTGATGTTTGTGTATGTCTCCTGCACAATGGGCCAGCCTGACCTGTTTGCCATAAAGTTTTATCCTGGACTGCATAAGGATTCATCATTTTCACAGGACGTCTGCTGCTACACTCATATGGCACTCTTCTCACTGAGTCTACACTCCTTAGTATCATCTCCTCACTGTGCTGAACTTGTTGCTTCTTCTTCTTCTTGTTCACCGTGATGACGTCAGGGGCTAGACGTTCGTTGTATATCTTCTGCATATACAGAGTTGTACATAAGTCTTAGGCCACCAGTATTTATTCAGTGTGACCCTCCTTTCCACTTAGCCCAGCCTGAAACCATGACAGACCCTCCACCATATTTCACTGAAGGCTGCCAGCATTCATTCTTCCATCTCTCTCCTACTCTTCTTCTCTCATACTGTTGATGATTGAACCCAAAAGCTTCAGGATTTGGTTCATCACTCCATAAGACTCTTCTCCACCGTTCTTCACTCCAGCCTTTGCATATCTCAGCCTTTTCTCCCTGTCCCCCTTCTGAGCTAGTGATTCTATTGGCTGCTGTCCTTTCACAAATGCCGTTCCTGATCAGGCTTCTTCAGTATGTGGAAGAACCAACCTGGCATCCAGGTGAAGCTGCCAGATGCTGAGCCAGGTCCTTGCTGGATTTCCTCTGGTCTCTTAATTAAGAAACTCTGAGAAACTTCTCATCAGATTTTGACAGTTTACTGTTTCTCTTCTTGACCTCTTTGGATTCTTCATGTTTCTTCAGCTTGAATATCACATCTGGATTGTCAAGATTGTTTGTTTTTATTCTTGTTTGTGTTTATAATGCTGTGTACATACAGTGTTTCCTATATTTTTCTAGTTGTATTCTGATAAATAACTAGATATAGTCACCGTAACACTGCTAAAACAACAAATCTAATGATAGCCTACAGCTTTTGCACAGTACTATAACAATCAATCCATTTCCTGATACATTCATATTTTGGGGTGTAATAATCATTGTAGCCTTTTGGGGCCCCTAACAAGGCTTTATTCTAGTTAGACCACCAGTGCCATGGCAAACAAAACAAATAATGTAACGACCGCCTGAGGTGCATCTCTTGTTCACACTGCAGTAATCAGAGTTCGTGTTTTCTTTTGGTCGGCTCCAGGTGGTTCACCAGGAGAGGGTCACCTTGGAGTCCCAGCTGGAGTTCCTGCGGCCTCTGACCTCGACGTGATTGAACCGGAGGTCTTGTTAGAGTCATGTTACCAGTGCGTCACCAGGACACGAATGTTTGAGCCAAGACACACAAAGATGTTGTCTTTTGTAATGATTACAGAATAAATGTAAAAAGGGCTGACAGTAGAAACAAAGGTGCATTGTAGACATATAGGGATGTGATTCTTAGATTTCTTTGCAGTGAACAATAAAGTCGCTCCACCAGATGTTACCTTGTATTACTTTTAATGCTGTTTTGACGAACTGAATTGTGCATTTTTTAATCACTGTATGATAAGCACTTGTAAAATATTCCTTGGGATATTCTAACTTATTGTTGTCTTTTGAGTTACTGATATTTTCTCCCATAAAACTTGTCTTGCTTACAACACATGTAACAGTTTTGTGCACATATTGCCATGACTTTGAGACATGTTTATGTTCTGTGTTAATTATGGAAACATTTAAGTTTACATGGGCTGTATACAGTGTATTTCATGTGTCCACATGGTCTAAAGCAAGTGATGGTGCTAAAAATGACATTTAGGCTCTGATTACTTTTTCCATGTAAATTTAAAAAATACACATTTGCAAGGTTGTACGTAATGTTAGCAAAACAACTACTTTAGGAATTAGTTGATTTAACTGAGCATTTGGATTGACTGTTGCACTGGCCATTAGCACAAGGGAGAACGTTGACACTTTTGACACTAGATTTGTATTAAATATGTACATTTATGTGGAGATTATCTCTATATTTAATTTAAGCAGTCTGTTTTTTCTTTAAATCCCCTTATATTTATTATTTTATTAGTCACTTCTTTGTTGTATCCATACTGTCACAATGATTTTACTGAATTTCAAGTTTGAGGAGAAAACGTACCTCCAAAAACCGAAACCAGTTTTAAAGGTCAAAACAAGAAAAGGAACAAGGACAATATTCATCTCGTGTTTTGGAAGATAGTTTTCAAAACAGCCAATGTCTGTATAAATGGATGTGGTTGTGATTTTTGCCAAACTTGTGGTGCTGCTCATGTTTGTTTTAGACCATTGGGTTCCTACATATCTTAAATGTTAATGACTGTAAATGAAGTGGATGCATTACACGATGCCATGTTTGACACTGCATGTTTGCTAAAATGATCTGAGCACTGAACTGTAAATTAACCTGAAATCATGCACAGCTGAGCTCTGGGCTGAAGACAGTAATCAAACAAATCAATAAAGTTGTTTATTTTTAACATTTATTATTATTTTATTACAACTATTGTAAGGCAGTTGACCATACATATACCAGCCACTTTATTAGGTACACCTGTACAATTGTATGCAAATCAATGCAACACTTCTGCCTTAACATCTGTGTTTATGAAGCTCAATATTTCACTTTGTGGAGAAATTGTCATTGCATAAATTCAATTATGTTTATTATTGAGGTCACAGCTAAAGGTGGTGTTGTACTGGACTACGTTATATTCAGAGGTGTCTCTTGTCCTCCCCAGGTACGTACGTGAGAGGGTAAGAATATTAGGAACAACTTTGAAATGAATGAGCTTGAGTGAACGAGTTCATTCTGGGAGACGGGATGCCAGACGACAACAGGGCGCTCGTTACTCCTCTGTGCCATAACCAATATTTGGCACGGCCCTGCATGTCGGTACCTGCTGCCTCCACTTACAGTATCTGCTCCCACATTGTAGGTTTTATTTCAGGCTATGCATCAAGAGAGAAGTGTGTGTGCTCATTCAATGAGACAACAGAGTTATTCTCACTGAGCTATAAATACCACTTAAATGTGTTTGCTGTGCATTTCAAGATGACAGCTGCATGTGATGAGGAAACTATATGTGTTGGCCATGTGTTGCCTTTAAGTATATACCTGTTTGATATAATTGCCATCTAGGTATCCTACACTGGCTTATTATTATCTACTTGGTTAATGATTCATCTAGCTGTAGACGTGATATTTAGTGCTCCCAGACAGTGACAACTGGGCCTCTGTAGACCTCCATATTAATCCATGCAACAGAAACAACGCTGTAATGACCAAATGCTCATTGGAGTAAAGCAGAAAGTTAATTGAACAAAATTAGGTACTTCTAATAGTGTAAATAATCTGTAAATGTGCAACTTTTCAGTAACCTGGATAACATCTGGTGAGGTAAGAGTTAAGGCCGACTCTTGTAACAGCAAATATTAGCAGCTTTTGTCTGTTTAAGATAGGCCTTTTGTTGCAGCACCGTTACCCAAAGATGACGACATATCTTTTCTTTGTCCCACACTGGGCTTTGCAAAGGTTGCACTTTTGGTGTGGAGATTAGCTAGGCCACAGGAAGGGATTTTAGGCTGTCATCTCTGCTGATTCTGGCCCCATCAGCTGCTGGGATTTAGCTAAACACTCATTCAGCACATGTGAATGAAGCTCGGCCCAGGCTGTCAAGTCTGCCTACAGAGGTGACAGCAAAGATTAACCTAGATAGGGATCCCAGCAACAAATAAACATTTTCCTTATAAGCCATACAAGTTGCTAAAGAGGGTGTAAGCTATCAGGAAGGACAGAACCCTAAAATACACACCCTGTCTACTTTGTGTCTAAAACACTTGACCTTCACCTGCTTGGTGACAAGGGAATATCGCACACAAAATAATTCAAATATGTTCTTTCATGTGAGGCAGACAGAACAAAGAAGATGTCAGCCCCCCTCCATGTCAACCTGCAGTTCGCCAATAATACAGCCGGGCCACCTTTTTGCCCAAGTGATCCACAAACATTTTCTCTGCTGTCAGCTCTGAAAAATGAGAAAATGTGTTAAAGTAGGTCTGCAACTAACAATTATTTTTGTTGCTGACTGATGTGTAATAATCATTTAATCTAAGAAAATCTCAGAAAATAGTAAGAAATTTTCTTTAGAGGTATCAAGAGCCGAAATGTCTTGTTTTGTTTCAGCAAGCGACAGATTTATAAAATACAAGTCAGGTCTCTGCCTAACTGACGCAACCTCATTACCTGCACCAAGGAATTTATGTTTCTTTACCATTCTTCTTCTTTGATCACCATTGTCAGATATAGCCAATTTCAATATTTTGCTTCTAACTCCATACACAGTTCCTACAAAGCTTAGACAAAAATTGTATGATAATATCAACATAAGATCTACCACACACCAAAGTCAGATCTGGATCCAAGTAATGTTCCGGACATGTATAGGGCTCATGAAAAACTCTCTAATCTACCATGAGACAACAAATAATGCTACAGACTTGCAACTAAGATCAAATTGTAGCTGAAACTCTGCTGATTCTGTAGGATGTCAACAGTTTTGACATAACCAAGTTACTGATTTTCTTGGATAACTTTCAAAATAGTAATAATATCAGTGTGATTCCAAATGCTAAGGGTAGGTTTCCTGGTCAGTGAATCATATTATGAGGGTCAGACTGCCTTAGCAGAGGTTTGTGCTCTGAGCGTGGTCGGCATTGATCATGAATCTCAGATATGTTGTGCAAGGACCAAGGACAGTGATGTTATATTTATACTGCACAGGACCAGTGGTGGGAGAAGTACCCAGATTCTTTACTGAAGTAAAAGTAGCACTTCCACAGTGTAAACATACTCTATTACAAGCAAAGGTCCTACATTCAAAATGTTAAGTAAAAGTACAAAAGTATAAGCATCTAAATTTGCATCAAGTACCAATAATAAAAATGCTCATTATGCAGAATGGCACGTTTCACATTATATCAGATTATTGGATTATAATTATTGCTGAATTACATCACATTTAGTGTTGTCGCTGGTAAAGGTAGGTTAACTGCATTTTATACTTCTGGGCAGCTTGTGACTTTCTCACAGAGGATGAATCATGTCTCTTGATTATATTGTATTATTAATCTGATTCTTAAAAGTAATTAGTATCTCAAATATCAAATAAATGTAATGAAGTAAAAAGTACAATATTTGCCTCTAAAAATGTACTGAAGTCAAAGTATGAAGTAGCAGAAAATGAAAATACTCAAGTAAAGTACAAATACCTCAAAATTGTACTCAATTACAATACTTCAATTAACGTGCATACTATTTACTTTCCACCTCTGCACAGGACAAAAAGCACAAAGCCATAAGTTTAATTAAAATCAATGTTTTTCCTTTTGATTCTGTGATTCGTTTTACCTCCTGCAAACAATCTGTTATCTGTAAAATATTCCAATAGAGATTTGAACCGGATATCTCTAATGTTCAGTGGTCATGTTTAATGCACTCTAGTATTTTCTTCTATCTATCTATTCAATCTAACATAAAACTTCTTCTGTGACGTGTTTGCAATGTATCACAAAAGTGTTGCAAGATCACGGCATTCATTTGTCCTGAGGGACATAAATCCAACACGGCAGAACAGCAGCGAGAGAGTCCAGATCCAGGGAAGCCTGGAACTCCGCTCCAGATCTTCCCGTCGGCTTTTTTTAAAAACCACCTCTACTTTGGAGCAGTGAAAAACACACTAGCACTGGGACAGCAGATGACCCGGTGGAGCCGCGAGGAGCCGCGAGGAGCACAACAGTCCTCTCTAACGAATGAAAGGATGGGGGGCATCAGCAGCAGCTGAACGCTGAGGAACTGGATCAGGGTCCGAGGGGATAGAACTGCTTTCTGTTTAGTCTTGGGTGAAGTTTGTTGGATTTATTTCCCGGTCCACACCAACATGCCATTTGTTAAACGAGTCGTGGAACCTCAGTTACTGTGCAGGTATCAAATCCCAAATGAGGGGGGTCTGCTTTTCGAGGATCTGGTCTCCATCAGTAATGTGGCTCTATCTCGGACCCTACGGCAGCTGTCCGACCTGGCCAGACATGCCTGCTCCATATTCCAGGAGCTGGAGAACGACCTCACATCCACCAACCTGCGGGTCAGGGGGCTGCAGAGTAAGATTAACCAACTTCAGCAGATCTGCTCCGAGCTGGACCCCAAAAAGGAGGCAGTGCGTGAGTACTTTGTTATAATACATACATAACACATCTGGTCTGTGTGGGAGCTGCGCGCGACCCTGAACAGAAACAGCACGAGGAGGCAACGTGAACTGTTTATATCAGTTTTTACCAGTCTGGCTGAATTTCTACAACAATAATGACGCAGGTAAAAAAAAAAAAAAAGTTAGCCACGTTTACCATAAGCCAACTTCTTAGCCACACATACTTAATTCCTTTATCGTTTTGGTTGTAATAGTTCCTTCGCAGCTGTGTAGACATGGGTTCATATTGGGAAACATGCGCTGCTGTTTTCAGCTCTTCCCACGCTGAGGGGCGTGTGACAGCCTGGACATCCCCAGCTCAGGTCAGGAGACACTGCGCTATTACACTGCTATTAGCTCAGGCTTTAGTTTCACACAGATATGGCTTTATTCATGTATAGGCAGTGAAGTTACAGGTAACTTTGTCAATGACGTACATTGGGCCTGGAGGGAAGCAGTTTGGTTACATGTTTGTTTCTCCCTCTAATTTTGTCAAAACATTTCATTTTCGGACATAGCTATATTAACCCCAGTGAATGTTTGTATGCTATGAGGCTATTAAAAACATTTAAAGTTGAACACGGTGCGTCACAGTTTGTCCTGCTTCTTGTGCTGAACTTTGCTTGGACCCCATTAAGAATTCATTACCCAGATAACACAGCATGTGGCCATCACCTGGGTCTTTTAACCCCCCACCCCCCCTCGAGTGACAGTGGGTGATGTGTGTTTGTTTAAACCCACTCTCCATGAAGCACTTAGGAAACCTGTGCCCCCTTCTCTACCCCCCACACCCCACACCCCAAGGAATGTCCATCCCAATGCAGGTTCTCCAGCTTGGAACATACCCCAGTGGATTTACCCCACTTATAGTTTAGGTTGAGCAAGTGCTTGCATGCTCCCCAGACCCTGCTTCCTGTGGTCTCTGAATGGGTCGCTCTGCCTAAAGGCATGTTTCTGCTGCCACAACCAAAACACACACCTGGCCCCTCTTAAACCTGAAACTTTGAGATGTCTGCACAGATTTTTATTCAGCAGCAACTGTGTGAAGCTCTTGTTTAAAGCTGGGCTGATGACTTGTTTTGTTGTAGCATCTTGTTGAGTGCAGTCACAATAAGTTGCACATTTTCAGTATATTTGTTCTGAATCATCCTGGTCATTTATTGTAAGTCAGAGGAAACGAGCTGCTGTTTGGTCTTGAGGTCAGTTTGTTCCTTGATGTAGAGGCTTGTTGTGTCACAGGCCCACAGGTTGTGTGAATTTTAAAATGCTACGTGTTGTATGGGAAATTTTGCACACTAGGTTAGCAAATAACCTCTTTTGCCTGGAAACGCCTAATTACTCTTAATTGAGCTTTTCATATAAATGGTGTCAGAGGCAGCCTTAAACAACAGAACCCTCCCTCATCTGAATGACAGTTAGTGTAAATGGAGCAGTTCGAGGCATGGGGGACTCGGTGGGCGGGGGTGGGTTTTTATGATGTGGCTGCAACTCGTCCACAGGTCGACCGCTGGGGGACACAGCTGCAGATCCATTTGCCATATTGGACTCTACAGAATCACAGACTGACTCGTTGGTGAGGTGTTAAATGTGCCGTCCCATGTTAGCCAAGCACCTCCTGCACTGGAGTGTGGTATCATGGCTGTTTTCTGATTCCCTCTGTGGTAATATTTGTATGCAGACCTGTGTTTGTATGCTGGGGGAGCTGCTGACACATTTAGGTCAAACTGCTTGGTTAGCTGGAAGTGCAGTGTCTCTGTTTCACTTTTGCTCCATCTCATATCAAGCCTTTTATTCTCAGCAACACCAGATATTCTAGAGCTGTACTTAGCACTGTGTCCGTATATAGACACTTTGGAGATGCTCCTACTGTCTGTGATTTGATTGGCATTGCTGTTTATACAGTGAAATCCAACTAAACAATACAAGATTTTCAGTGCCCATTTTAAATTGGTGCAGTAAGGATGAAAAATGAAAGGAAGTGGTTTCAGTTCTTTGCTAATCTATTGAACCGGGTTCAGTGCTTAATCACTCACTCTCTATCTTTCTCTTTCTGTCTTATCCACCACCTCAAATACACACACACTTCAGTTCACAAGGTGCCTGGCACGTATCCCCAGACCCTGTGTTTGGACAGCTCTCCTGTGACACCCCATCAATGTCTGCCATGGACTACCATCAGAGCTCCTCAGCCAGACCGGCTCTGTAGTGCAGTCCTGTGTTAGAGCACTCTGCTGGGTTTTAAGTTACACCGTCTCGCTGTGGAGAGGGAGCTGTAATACTTGTGGTGGCAAGTGGCTCTCAGGCTTTTCTGGTCCAAGAGCACATGGCTGGTAGTTTACCATGTTCCTTGTACAGACCGCGTCAGAGAGTGTCTCAAAATACCAAAGAGAGGAAAGCAGGAGTCCCACAGCCCCACAGAGTAAAACTGAGAAAACCTACAGTAAATACTGCGTCTGTCGTGCAGACTTACACTGTAATCATGAGAATCTAAAGAACTATATACAGTATATAAAATTACATGCATTGAAATTCAAAATAATGTACACTAAGAAGATTTCTTGTATGTGATCACACATGCACAAACAACCTAGATCAATACCTGATCTTTAAGATAAACACAGTGCATTTATATTGCATCTAGAAGCAAAATTAGCCTGAGGGGAATTTAATTAGTCAGCTGACTAATACATTTGTAAGTGCAGTCATCCTGAATGTTTGAACTTAAAAACACTTGTACAGTATCCTGCTTGACACATACTATTATGTTTAGAAAAGACAAAAGCCCCTGCAGCCATTTCTTACTATTTTGCTTCAAGGTTTTTCTCAGTGCTGCTTTTCCAGTTGCTTAAACAAACCCTGGTGTAAGACCGAGAGCCGTGTGGTTTATGCTCTGCAGTTACCATCCTCTCTGTCTTTTAATTTCACTCCAGAGCCGGTCCTCCACCTCAGCAAAGTCACATTCGTGCTGCTCTGTGAGCCTCAGTGGCTTGGAATGAAAGTGGTGGTTTTGTGAACAGTAGCAGTAGTAGTCATCTACGCTACTATGAACTCCTGTACAGTAGCTTACACCAGGAAACCTCATTAGCCTGCTGAAGTCCTTTGACCCAATCCCGCCATTACTGGGACTTTGATTTACTAAGTGATGCTACGACGACGAGTCAATGCACTCTCCACCCGACATCATTAACTATCAATGCTAGAATTCAGGATAGAGTTTTAGATAATATTCTATCAGCAAATGAAATAAAACTTTGTCAACAGTGTTCTTTCTAGTAATCCCATTTTCATTTATTTTGTCCAGCTCATCTATAACGAGGCTGAATAACAGTAACACCTCTCTGTATAATGCAATGCAGTTCAACAGCAGCGCAAACTACATGTTAAAAACTTAACATTATAGCCTTCATGATTTATTGCTGTTGACTTCTTCCATTGCCAGCTGAGTGTACTGCATGTCTGGCAAGATATTAATGGCTCTAGGCACACTCTATTTCCATAAAGTGAACAAAGACCTTACATCATTCACACAAAGAAAAGAATCACATCGGTGCATCCTGGTTCACTTTTTACCACAGTAACAAGAGCCTGTATGTCTCTCGTCTTTCTTTATATCAGAACCATAGAAGAAGCATATTTCTGCAGGTCCAGACAACCTGCCATTGATATAGTACCCCTGCTAAATATAGAGCAGGTTTCAAAGACTTGCTCACTCATTCCTATGCCAGCCCCCCTCTTCCCCTCTTCCCAGACAGCCACGGAGAAGGCCTAGACAGCCCCGATGGTGTGGCTTGGTTTTCTCATTCATTCGTCTTATAGCTGATGTCATTTATCTATGTCATTTCTTTCTTCTTCCTCATGGCTTTCTTTCAGCACTCTGACTTAGCATTTTGGTACCAAACAAACCAGTGGCTTTGTTCAGTGTTCTACGTTGTAACTTGATCATATGATATAAACACTTTATTGTCAGCATATTATTTTTATATCAGTGATTTGACATTGAAATGTGGTCTTTGCACCAAGCTGAACTGACGGCTTTCTCTTCACTTGGCTCCACTGTGTGCGCATCTCAGCACCTCAGCCGCCGGAGAACTTGCTGGCTTGTGATTGAAGTGGTTTCTGCGGAACCGTTCTGTCAAGTCAAGCATTCCAAAGAGCCAGTGACCACCGTGCTTGCTTGCACTTGTGGGACCATACACCCCATACGGGTTCCCTGAATTGGCCTGGATGCCTGGTGTGATCAGGGGAGATGGAGGAGAAACTGGAGGCTGCCTTTGTTTATGGAGACGTTCTGTTAAAATTTAAAATGCGTGCACGATTCCACTTTACATTCTTGTGTCTATACGCTCACCCTAAATCCCTCTGCTGGTCTTCAGTATATTTTCATGTATGTAGGTCAACATTTGGGTTTAGTGTGTGTATGCGTTTTTAACATAACGCTCCTCCAGATGAAGTTAAGCTTTTGTTTGTTGTTGGCGAGAGGTGCTTGTTTTTTCTACTGCAGAAATTGGGGGTCATGGTAAGTGATCTTCCTGCCCTGAGGTGTGTATGCGTTTCTATCTCTCTCTCTTTCTCTCTCGCTCTCTCTCTCTCACACACACACACACACACACACACACAGACACACTTATTAAATAACATTCCCCTGCAGTCATTACTCTTTATGGAGTCCTGAGTGTAGAGCCGAGGCACCAGGGGGACAATTCAAGTCTGTCCTGAAGAAGGTGGGGGCCCCAGTCATCCACCCCCTGACCTCAAAAGCTTGCTGACCCCCCAACCCCCTCTATACAACCCCTTCAGAACACAAAAGAGCAAAAACAGTCGCCTCCATCTTCCTTATCACTCGGCCTCTGAAGACTTGACTGGGCAATTAGAGTGGATTTAACGTTTGACATGATACTGAATAGCTACAGGTCAGCGAACCGGCAAAACCCAGTCCAGGGCCAGGGATGATTAAACTGTCAGAGTCAACTCAGT